TCTAAAGTGTACATTTTATTTTTTTGAGGAAAAGGTGCTAAACTCGTGGTAGAGAGGGGATGTCCATGTTAATCCTGTTTGAACCACAAAACACTCCTCACCCAGTAAGACAGTATATCTGTAAGAGCTGATGGCAGAGCCACAGGAGGTATCGATACTCGTTACCTCCATGGGAACAGACCACCAGCTCACACCAATTGGCCTCCCACCTATTTCATTAAATTTAGCTCACTTACAAATGGCAGATCCTTGGCTTAGACAGACATTGCCATTCAATCCTAGGAGAATCAGGTGCCTGCTCTTTGAGAAAGCCACCTGAGGGGGTAGCTACACTGCCCTGCTGCCTTTAAAATGACCTGGATAGCACTGGCCGCTGAGACCACACAGGGGTGCAAGGGGGTTGGCTGAGGGGCATGCCCAAATTCTCCAAGACAGCTCTTGCCTGAAGTTCATCTAGTAATGATGAACAGATGAACAGTTCATCTAGTAATGATGAACAGATGAAACAATCAACTGTATTAAACAGCAACTGGGAAATTATCAGGAGACTTTTAGTTGCAGTGGGGAAAAGTCAGCTATGCAGACATACAAACAAAACACAAAAACAAGGATGAATAGTGTGCAGGAGAGGAAGGGAGCAGGGCAGAAGGGGCTGGTGTGACCCTGCCAGACACTGCCATCCTGAGTATACAAGGTTGTTCAGAAATTTCTAGACACACATTAATGTTTTGTAACTACATAATCTAGCTTCATCTACAGATATTGATCCTAAGTGTATAGTTCAGGGATGGCCAGGTAATTCCATGTTGGAAACAATACAATAAACCACGATCACAGTCACAGCAACCAGGTACATTTTTCCTACAAGATACAATGGACTGAACAGTGCTGTGATGGGGGCTCTTGCCACTGTCACTGCAAATGGGGACAGATGTGAGAAAAATATGACAGCTACATAAGACAATACAATTTGTAATTTCTTAAGATGTTCAAGATAATCCCTGCTGTTAAATAGAGACAAAAACTTTCTCCTTATGTTTCTAAAAAAAAAAAAATCATTAAAATAATATAAGCTCTACAAGACCTGTGAGATTTTCTCATCACAAATATTCCCCACGTATGTCCATCCTGTTCTTCTACCCCCCACAGCTACACTCACAGGCAGCAGGTATATGTACTGCAACAGCTCCTTGACTTTTTGTGCCAAAGCCTTTAGGAGTCACAAAGAGGCAAACACAAGCCCCAGCAATTGAAACCTTTCCACACCAGATAATGAATGCTGGTGTTAAATCACTGCTCCATACTTTATACATATGTGCAAATACACATGTGTGTACATACATGTAAATAGACGTGTGTAGGTAAAACATGAGACGCTATACACACATACACTTTAAGGAAATTCTAATGAGATAGATGAAGAGATGCATTTTTTTTTATTTGTGTCACTTGCCAATAGCATTTTTTTCTTTTTATGCTTAAAAGACCTGATCATTCTTCACTAGAAAGTGAAATACACATTATTTCTGAAACAATGGCAAGATTTTTGGGTTGGGGGTGGGGAGAGGAAGGTATTTTTGGCACAATAAAATTAAAGAATCTCTTGCAACACAACTGCGAAATGCAAAGGAATGCAGCCCAAATACCACAGCATAGACTGGAGTGGGGTTTCTTTGGTGGATGGCTGGTTTTTTTAAATCAAATCACCTTTGAAGAATTCTTGAATTCTAACCTGATGCTGAAAGATTAATACATCAAAAAACACAGCAAGAAAATGTTTCAAAATATTCTCACATCCTCTGAAGAGCTCTGTATCCTAGTGACAGTGTAAGGAGGGTAATTCAAGCTTTGCCTGATAGAAAAAGAAATTTAACACAATCATGTAACACAAACATGACACTAAAATGTTTATTTACAGCATATATATTACTTTTTCTTTTTTACTTTTTATTAATATCTTATCCTTCTTTTAAAGATACCCAGATTAAAAACATCTAAGCCTGTTAAGAGAAGAAAACAGTCTCAAAATAAATAAGCAACAGGAAAGGAAGTCAGCTATAGTACACCATCTGCTGCCACAGTCCTCTGCTAAAATATGTTCCGGTTAATAGACAGTTCATTTACAGTAACACATTGACACTATTCACTCTCAACTGCTTACATACTAAGCAAATACCATCTTGGCATGAAGAGAGACATATGTTCAAAACAGGTAGAGCCATTTGTCCCAGTGTTATCTGAATTTACATAGGAAAGAGCCACCCCCTCATCTGAATTAAATCTCTAGAACCCCTTTGCCTTTGAAGAAAACCAGTCTCCCAAACAAATAGGGCAAGGAGCACTCCAGCTCTGGAGGTCCATAGTGTATTTTGGTTTGTGTACATCACTCATTTCTGAGCATAGCTTCACCAACCACACATCCTACTCTGTGAACTGGTGAGTGAGTCTGTCCTCCAGAACCACCAGCCACCACACAGAAGCTTTCAGAGAAGCTCACCCAACCAACCAGTTACATTTCTTCACCTTTCACTAATTCTGTTCCTAAAGTGCTTGGTCTAAGATCAATAAGCTGAAGACACCTAAAGCTTCCTGGGATCAGCACTTGGCCAAAACATTGCGGGAGGTAAGAAGTCAGACACTGGCTTGCAGAGAAGATCTTCTCCAGGAATTCTTTTTTCTCCCCTGCAGGCTGTACACACAAAGTTCTTACACAAAAACAGCAGGTCCACATTTTCTGAAACAGACTGAAAGTGACTTTAATTTCAAACTGGAAGCTCAGAAACCTATTTTGGTTGGGTTGCAGAGCACTTCAAATATGCCAAGTGCTACATAAGTGGTAAACTAGTAATTCATCCAAGAACAGATGCTAGAAGGAGCTTTTCCAAGCTAACCACAGGACTGTGTTGGCACAGCCTCCTATGTAGAAATAGTAGAAGTGTCAACAAGCACATGGTCAGTCTTGCACAGTGATGCAATGAGTGCACACTAATACGTTCTGTACCCAGTTCAGACTTGCATAGACTGCACACCCTGAAACAGGATGGATGAGCAAATGGATTCAAAATAACTCAGAATATTTGTTATTTTATTAAATATTCCTGTTTTCAGATGGCACCTCACTCACCCTGAATTTCCAGAAAGCATTAAAACTGAGTAAAATTTTGTTAGTGTTTGGTTTCCTACCAAAAGTTCAAATTGTATTTTTAAATATAAGGCAGTTGTTTCTCACTTTATTTTGTTTTTGTTTTGCTTTTAAAACAAAAATTTAATAGTTCCAGATTTTCTCTACTCTCAACAAAAAGGGGCAATTTTCCTGGTACTTCCAAATTTGAAGACAGAATTAACACACTTAATTCTTTCCAGTAGGAAATTTATCTGATGTAAAGTGGCAAGGCCTGATTCACCTTTCAAATGGATGCAAATCAAAAGCAATTCCACCACAGAGAATGAAAAAGTACTGATAACATGAATATCTCCAACAGGGTTTATAAAATTTTGAGTTTCATCCATGCAGTTCAACTTGAAAGGTTCTGAGCATGCCATGTCCAGAAACACAAATTTGCTTATACTTAACCTGAAATCCATTAAGCTGAAGCCTATTGTAGCCTGTCAAAGCTGAACACCAGCAAATCACAGGCTAAAGCCTGCAGGAGAAGGGGTCAGTCTTCTGTTGCTATAGATCCACAGAAAACAAGTTTCCTACTATTCCCCAAGTGGTTCAATCATCAGTAAATTTAAATTCATTTGACAACAAGAAACCTAGATCAAGGACTTTGCTTCCTACATCTCTAGGAACTCCACAGTGGTTTACTGTTTCCTTGTGATTGACAGCAGGATACTAGCATAGAGCTTAAGTCTTATTTAATAGAATTTGTTAGTACAAAGCAGCCTATTTAATTTTTGGTTTGCATTTGAACAGTGATTTCTCCACATATGTAGTAGTTTAGCACTCAAGAGTGGCATTTGTTCCTTAGGCTAAAAAGCTGTCAGTTGGACAATGACACATCAGCTTTACAAGTAATCCAGAATCAGCTTTTAACCAGGGTTAAAAAGGCATTTCAAATCCAACACACTGCTATTATTTCTGTTCAGAGATTGAATACGAGAAAAGAACTGAATGCTCAGAAATTAAAAGTATAATTAAAAATGTGTTGGTAATCCCTTTGAGGACAAGTATTTCCATGCAAAGTAAAGACTAACCCCAGAAAGACAAGGTGGAGAACACAGGAAGGTCAAATCTATTCTGGACTTTTGCCAGGGTTAGTGAAACTAAGTTTTGTTTAGCAGGGATCTATAAAATGGACATTTAGTTTTCCTCAATCACTATAATTCTGTAACTTAGAAATAGTTCAAAATACAATTCAAGTTGACTTAGAGAAGTGCATGGGATATTCTGGCCAAAGTGAAAACAAAACAAATAACCTATCCCACTTCAAAAAGCCTACAGAAGAGCCTCTCTCATCTTAGTATCTAGGACACCATAAGTTGCTCCAGGCAGACTGTTTAAATCTTCATGCCCAAATGAATAGCTATTAGCTCTTAGACTCAAAGGAACTTGCAAGTCAGGACATGTAAAAAACTATTTTGCTAATATTCAAATAGTCTGAACCAAATAACCCTTTAGTATAGGCCCCTGATGACTTACTTAACTTTCTCATTTCAACAGTGAATCCAGCTCTGTGCATAAGTGAGGCACACAGGTTTTACAAACCAGCAGATACAGTAAGATTGTACCTAATAAAAATTGATACCAATAACAAAACAAATCTCTGAGGCTGAAAAAAATGTGATGCTCGGAGGTTTCAACAACTATTGCATTTTTTTGTTTACTTGTTTTCAAACAGGTTTTGTAATATAGCAATAACACTATTCTTAGCAAAATTGGCTATAAAAAACCAGCCTGTATGAAATGCAACCACACTAAATCATTGCAGTAATAAAACAGCATCACAGCTCTTTACATCTGCACTATAATGTTCAGTGTTATCAAGTCTGTGCTCTTATGAAGCCCAGGCAGCCAGCTGCTTCATCTCATCTTCATCCTCCGCTCTCCTCCTGGTCGATGCTGCAGAGAAAGAGACAATTACCATCAACTAATGTAACAGTCAGAACCATTTTATCTGTTACCATGAGGGCTTGATTAGTGCTTTTCAGTTTGAAGATCTCAGATCGATTTACTGAGCAGCAAGCTGAACATGGAGAATGTGGGAATGAAGCTCATGAGAGATGCAGCTATTTTGCCCCACCATTATCTCACATAGAGCCCTGAGGTTAACAACATAGGTCTGATGTAATTCCTACTGAAAGACTCCCACAGAAAATACACTGAATATCTAAAAGCTGTCACAGGCAGAAAGCGCCCACAAGAACACTGCCAGTTCTCTCACCACCATGTAAACAGGCATGAGTGACCCTTCCAGCTGCAGATCCAACCTTTCCAAACAGTGCTGAAAGGTTCTGCATATGCAAGTCCAGACTCCAAATGGACTCACCCCATTTTAATGGAAGGTGTCATTTATCAAAAGGGAGAAAGGAATTCCTAAACTTACTTGTCTCAGGTGACATCAGTTAACTCCTGCATTCACAGCAACAGCAATCCCTAGCTCTGTATCAGGTCCCACACACAGTGTCTCCCTTTGTACCCAAATCTATCACATCATCTTCATTCACTGTGCTAAAACCTCAAATTGTCTTCATTCGCTGACCTACAAACTAGATGCTCTACAGTCAACCTCAGGCTGTCTCCATCTGTGGGCTGTGCATGTCAGGATTGGCATCCCTCCAAACATCAGTGGACACTGTTACTGGGGGCAATACCCTGGTGTGCACACTTGGAGCAGACAGCTGGCTCCAGCCTGTGGCAGCTCCATGGCCAGGAGCCACCGTCCTACTGGTGCTGCAACTACCACCTTCAGGGACTAAGGGTGGGAAAAGGACATGGCAGGCCATGGGTCCAGTCCCTAATCTGCAAGTGCCACTGGCTCACTGTGTGACTGGGGAAGGTCACTCTGTCTTGCTCCATCGCAATTTCTTCATCTTCAAAGTCAGGAGGGTAACATGCATCTCCAATTAGAAGCATTTACAGATCCATTAACTGTTCTGATTTTGCTGTTGCTGTGTAACAGTAAGCACTGATTGTCAGAAAAGATCAGCCAGTTTTGCAAGGTCTTAAACTATATAACTGTAACCAGCTCATTTTGCCAGAAGTAGCCATAGAGACAGATGAAGGAGAAAATTAAGATACTGAGATGCACATGGAGATGGTGTGTGTTTAATAAAATGTCAGCTGGCACAGCTGGATTGGGAAGGCAATGAAGAAGCCATAAACGGCCAGACTGCAATTTGCACTGTTTCTAAAGCCATATTTTTTTTACTTTTTTTTTTTACTAGACGTTCTGCAATTGACTTCAGTAGATAAGGCCACAATCCCAGTTTGAACATTTTAAATTGCTGCTTAGAATTTAAGTGCCATCTGCCAAAACACATGCAAGAGTCTCTGAGCCGAACTGGTCTATGTAACCTGTTCTGCAGCAGAACACACCGTAAACAACCTGCATCACATGTGAGCCACCCTTACCATCAAATATTTATGTTCTTTTACTAGCATCAGTACACAGCAAGTCTTTCAGCTGATAGAGGACAACAGGGACACGGTGATAGGTGTGGGAAAAGTTAAATGCCTTTGGCTTAATTCAAAATGAACAGGGCAGAACTACAGAAAAATAAGACAACAGCTTAATACCAGGAATAAGCCTGTTCAGCAGAAAAAAAGCAAAGGAATGAAAATACTTCTTTAAATGTGCACTTCCTGCTGCCTCCTTCATTTCTAATTAAAATACCAGTGGCAAATATCAAGCCACTGCCCTACAAAGCTGGATCTTTGTGACGCAAACATTTTGAATCTAGGTCAGACTCTAATTAAAAGAGACTAAGGATTTATTTGCCAAAAAGAAAAAAAATCTCCCCATTCCTCAATGATATCACTACATTTCAGTAGGACATTCATTGGTATATCTGCAAGGTCAAGTTCACCGAGTTTATCTCCCTAAATCTACAGAGAATTTGGTCCTAAATGCTTTTATAGATCAAAACAAAACTACACTCTGCTTTTTCTGTTAAACAGATACAAAAATAGGAAAAGGATTTTATAGCACTTTAAAAGTTAAAACAGAGTTAAATAAATCTCTGAAACTCTTCCTCTCCCCCTTCTCACAGCATGGCTTAATCATGAGAAATGTAAAATGGCAAGGAGGCAGTTTACCAGGGCCAGAAGGCAGCGATGTGGACGGAACACTTGGCAACCTGACATCTCTCATTCCCTTGTTCAGTTCTTCTTGCTCCAGTTCTTCTAATTCTGCCATCAACTCATCCTAAATTTAAGGAAAACATTATTTACAAACTCATTGTCCTGACAGTGATCACAGGCAAAAGCACATTTAACCACCATGAGGCAAAGCACTACAGAAAAAAACAATTTACAGCTGAAAAAAAGTATCAAGCCCAGCATATTAAAAGTACAATTTTTACTCAATGTAGGCAATAACAATAAACCTTAATTGAATGCTGAAAGAATGAAAATGGCAGTTAGAAACAGGACAAGGAATAAAATTAGAAACAAAACTGACAGCAGTACAGTACTTGTCAAAAAAGTAAACACAGCGGGGAAAAAAAGTCTCTCTGCTGTCCTCAGGTTTGTTGCAAATCTAGAGCCTGTACCCTTCAATGGATTCAAGTTTTAATGTGCCATTTCTCCCATTTTAAAAAGCAAACAGCTTCCACTGGTTATAAGGTAGACTGTCACTAAACATTATTTTTCAGACCTATCACACAAGTCCAGGATGATATATAATTTCAAAGGAGCACTGGAATCAGAGACATCCTCCTGGGTCCTGCTATTCACTCTTGAAGCATGCAACACTCTTGGGCTTTTAGCTGCAGAAGCTGACTTGGATAGATGATCTCATCCACTAGAATAATACTTAAAATAAAAACACTGCAGACTTTTTTTTTTTTAAACATAAGAAAAGCTTATTCCTTGTCTGGAGTTTCCAAAAAAGGAAGTTAAATGTTACATATTTGTAGAAAAATGGACCTTTGCCACATTGGTAAAATGGTTTATAAAAGAAACAATAGGGAAGAGGTCTAAAAAGAAACAATGGAGAAAAGTGTCTGTAGCAAAATAAGATCTACTAGATATTGAAGTGGGCTTTGCCTACATATTTATACTTTGTTTATCACCAAAGTGGAAGTTAAAATGATAGTTACACAGACACGACAGGCCTTCCTACCTAGATTTACCTTCTCATGGTTTTATAATTTAAGGTAAAAAAGGGCTGCACTTTGCCTACCTGGCCTAATTCACAGTGCAAATCCTGAGACATGATCTAAAAATTTCAGCATCGGGTCTACACCTGATGATGTCCAATTCACAGCTGATCTCTCAAGGAAATGTGCAAATTGGGGTCCTAACACAGGCATTTAGTTGAGGTGCAAATGTGCCTGTCCTTTAAGTGTCTTGGTCAGTGCTGTGAATACAAGCTTCTTAAAAAGTTAGTGTCCAAGCTGTTATAAAGTCAATGGAAAAAGGTATTTCTGAAAACATCTAGATGGTAATCTAACCCTCTCCCACACCACATTAGTCCCTACCAACCTCTGCTAAACAAGTAAACAATTAAGAGGTAGTGTCAGACACAACTAGCTCTCTAACAAAAAAAAAAAAAAAAAGAACAACAAAAAACAGGTAAGGAAAACCATGATCATGAGCCCTACACCTTTAACAGAATAATGTAACGGCTAGAACATTTGCTCTCAAAGTGGGAAATTCAAGTTCTATTCATCCACAAGCATGAATTTATGTACTATACCCCACAACTCAGGAATTGCTCTGCAAGTAAGTTGTGTATCATTGCAATAACTACAACAATCTCCTTTTTTCTCTTGAACCTGGAACAAAACAAAAGCAGGGGCAAGATACCATGGGAACTTGCAGTTTCAGGCTTTGACCACTGGACTGTGTGAATTTCACATTTGATGATCAGAAACAGGGCTCCAGTTTCATTCAGATCATCCCTCCCAGTGAGCATCCTATTCAGGCAGGACATAGCTTTTCTGCATTCTTCATAACATACACTATATCAACCCAGGGAGGAAGAACCCTTATGTTACTGTGCCTATCTGGTGCAATAGAAGCTACATTTTTCCATGATCTCCTTGTACCCATGGCACACAAGTTAAAAGAAAATCCAGCCAAGTGTGTAGTCAAAACATCCTTCAAAAAAATTAAATTAAACATCATCCTCCAACACAAATCACCTCATAACCCAGCAATTAATTCATTGATTCTAGCACTCTTAGGCTGCAGTGGCCTGCAAACTAGGTTTCCCAGTTACTGCCCAAGTGCTGTAAGTATTAGGCTCCTATGCAAAAGCAGCTGCTGGTACAATGATGCCTCATATGACACTGCCTTATGTCCCAGAACAGGAACTATGAGCATCAGCTTAGACTAGTACCTCTTAGGAACTTCCACGTAAATCTACAACATGCTTATGAAGTTTAGACTGTGCAGCTGTTTGGGATGGCAGCATGTTTTTCAGTTGTTTGAAGCCCAGTTTAAACAGGCCAAATCCCATTCCTTGTGCCAGTATTGACTAAATGTTTCTTGACCAATCTATTTACATTCAAAGTAGAAAAACAGAAAAGCAGGTAATAGGAACAAAATACAAAGAAACATTTCTATTCTCAACAAATTATAACTGTTGAATGAAACCCTCCATTTCTCCCAGTCAAGCAAATATGTACGATATAGCATTTATCTTTTTCTTTGTTGTCCATTTGGGCACATAGGAACAAATTAGGTGGGGAGAGTATCATTTGATTCTTGAGGACATTCTTAAAATAATCCCTCCTAGTGCTTGGTCATTCTAAAACAAAATTGAAAACTAAAACCAAACTGGTTGTGATACTGAGCCTGATCCCCAGCTCTGCAATCCATGGATCACAAGAATTTTGAGTATCTTTGATCCTTGAGTCTCCAGCCATGACTGAATCAGAAATAAGTAACATCCTGCTTAGATATGGAAAATCAAGTCCAGTGGCACTCGATGAAAGCAACTGCAACAAATTCTCAGAAGGTCCTAAATGACTTGTGAGGTTTCAGAAGAGAAGAGCTCAAGGAAGAAACCTTATTGCCTCCAACCGAATTACTTCTACCTAATGGATCTACTTCTGCAGCAAGTCTGGAAAACAGGGAAAGGACCTGCATCTTCAAGCACCAAAAAGAACCTTAAAAAAATGATCCAAATATTCAGAATTGTGAACAGTTCTTGGCACAGGAACATGCACTTAGTCAAACAGATGTCTATTTGGAGCACAAAAAATTATATGTTCCAGTGTCCACTTGGAGCAGCAAAAATTACATGTTTTAGTGACCTCCTCCTTCCATGGGTCAAATGACAATAATAACTACAAGAGCTGGAATTAAAAATTGCTTTTCTTAAAATTCATATATATATTAATTTATTTTAAACACAGGTTTTATTTCATATATATTCTATATGTTAATTTTTTTACATTACAATTGTCCTAGATAGCGTAAGTTAGAACCAAGGAATTTCACATCCACACCTTTTGAGACAAACCACTGTGCAACAAAATAACTATGGAGTCATTCAACAACTAAAACTCACAAGCCTGAAGTACTAACCTCATCAAACTCATCGCCAAAGGTTGCTCGGTTTGAGATAGCATCTGAAATTTCCTGGGCAACATCTTGCTGTTCGGTGATATCTTGCATCAAATCGTCAATTTTGTTCAGGTCCCTGGCAAGATAACATGGAAACATTTTTTTAAAGAAATATCATTCAAATCCTAGAGAAGAGACTCACTTGGAAAAGACCTTATTTTCTTTTCATGTCCATGGCTATATAAACAGCAGAACTCACGGGAAATAATTTTCCTCACCTACACTTTTATGTACTTCAGCCAGTCCAACATCTTCCACTTTGGGATTATAACAAAAGTCAAACTGCAGCAGTTTGCATCTCTCCCTCTGTGCTCCTCACACCTCTGCCAGCCAACAGTCACACCCACAGGGCAGATCCCCCCAGGTCAGAGCCTTTGCAGGCCTTTCAGGGCCTTATAAACCCCCTTTAAGGGGTTTTTAAGAAAGAGGAGGATAAACATTTTTGCAAGGCCTGTTGCAATAGGACAAAGGGTGATTGTTTTAAACTAAAAGAGGTTTGATTTAGATTAGAAATAAGGAAGAGTTTTTATTAGAATGAGGGTGGTGAAATACTGGAACGAGCTGCCCAGAGAGGTGTGCAGAGGTGGTGGATGCCCCAGCCTTGGAAACATTCAAGGTCAGGTTTGATGGACTCCAGGCAACCTGGTCTAGCTGATGTCCCTGTTCACTGAAGGGTGTTTGGACTAGATGACCTTTAAAGGTCCCTTCGAACCCCAACTATTCTATGATTTTATGAATCTTTTTTGATGTTAAGCTTTCACCAGAATTGGGGGGAATTTAACAGAACTGTACCCCATGTAAAGGTTTCCCCTTATTGTTAACTTCAGCATTGTTTCAGTTCCTGTTTACTTCTCCCAGAACAACCTTTCTCATTTAGCTCTGTTTATTCAGCCAGGAAAACACCCCTTAAAACAATATATGACATTAAAATAGGGTAATTTTTTTGTCCATGTAGTGTTTTTTATTCAATTCTAATCAGTACTTCGAAGCCTACAGTCCAGCTTATGGACTCTGAGGAAAAGGGTCCACTTATTTTCTACAACTGAATCTTCTTTTGGACAAACCAAGGGCAGAGGCCAGTCTCCACTGCCAAGATAGACTAAAAAAAAGAAAAACAAGTACCACACACATGTCACTAGTGAAGTGACTTCCTTCTAGACTTGTTGTTAAGAAAAGATATTTTTCTGCCAAGTATTACAGTACAGAACTAATCTGACATCAGATGTCTGAGCAAAAAAAAAAAAAAAGTACAAATTGTCTAACTTGATGCAACAATCTGTAGTGATGGAATAGTTTGAAAGTAATTAGTTATCTCAACTTGAAAGCTGTTAGAAAGCACTTACATATTTTGATGTACTTTTTTCATGGCTTGTGCAGCATAACCCATATTCTTGAGCACTTCTGTGTTAGTGTGAGAATTTTCCAATGCCTCTCTCTGGAACTCAATGGTTGAAAGTGTTCCATCAATTTGACTCAACTGTTTCTCATATCTCTTTTTTCTCTTCAGTGCTTGTAAGGCAGCTGGAATGGGAAGAGGCAAAGTGCACTGTGTATTTTCATAGAAAAATGCAAGGACAAGTAATTCAGCATCAAGTTGACCTGCAGGATTTACAATTCTTATCCTCCTACCTTACTAGTAGTGAGACAAACTTTGACCACACCAGATCAGCAGCCTGTTTATCACCAACATGCTGTTGCATGAACATGTTGGGAAGCCTCTTTTTAGATAACTCCTTTTAGCACCACAGGGAAGAGCAGCTCCTTCCTCCACTGCAGGAGATCTTTAACTCCATCCTGTGCACACAGGCAGAACAGGGAAAATGGGGAGGAAAAAGAAAAGCATCAGAAAGAGTCAGAAAGGAGGAAACAGAGGAAGGAAGAAAAGAAATTGCAAAACTTCTTGTTGTAAGAAGATCTGTCGTGACAACCACACTTCCACCAATGTTGCCTTCTAAACTTTGTCCCGGCAACAGAAACTGTGAAGTGCAATGGAAAGCCCAAATGGCCTGACCAGGCAGGTGGGTTAGATCAGCAGAGGACTCATATTTCTCTGGCTTTCAGCTGCATCTATTTTTACAATCACTTAGGAACATGATCTTTAAACCTTACAATTTGAAAACATAAAGAACTTTGTAGACATGGGCACAGTCAAATCCAGCTACACCCCATTACCTTTGTAAATCGTCGAGATTAGTCTTTTATATTCGCTAAGTTATGAGCAACATACTTTGCCCAGAGTAAATCATTACCAGAATAAATGCACGTGACAAGCAGGAGGAGAAAAAGACTTTCTCTTGGCCTCTGGGTGTGGAAAACACACACAATCTTGCCACAAGCATTTCCTGACCACTGGCCTTTCCTTTCCAAACGGCACATGTGCCAGACAAAAAAAAACCCAAACAAAACCAGGAGACTGCATTAACCTATTGTTTTATCAATATTGTAAACACCCATGTCCCTTCTCTTTTCTTCTACATTTAATTTTTTCATCAGGTTCAGAGCCTGCAAGCAACAGGAGCCCTGCAGCTCCCCAAACTTGACCAGCAGCAGCAGTTACTGTTGCTGTCCTATTCAAATAATCATCAACGTGCAGAAACACTGAACCTTGACACCGGAGTACACAACTTTTCAAATGAAGTTAGGATCCCTCCAAGGAAGTGGCATAGATTTATGGTGTGTAACAACACACTAAAAACAGTGCTTTGTTGACAAATGCTTGAATCAACATGGCCAAAATTGCTCATAGTGAGCTGGACAAGGGCAGGCACTCACACAGGCTAAGATGTCTTCCAGCACATGCAATAAGGTGTTTCAGGACATCAAACCACAAATATAACAGAATAATCAGACTATTCAATCCAAGGTTTTCCCAGGTTTTGGGGGATGGTCTGAAGATCAGGCATATTCTGAAGAAGATGCATGAACACCAGATAATGTCATGCAAATGGCAAATGTGTGAATTGTAAAACTCTGATTGGCAACTCAAAAATACATCATTTTGACTTAATCACAAACAATCTTTACCTACTAATTATTTCCCTACTTATTCATGCTTGTTATTGGTAGTGTTAGGACAGCAGACACTTACTTTGCTTCTGCTGAATCAAAATTTGATCCCGGATTCTTAGGTTAGGAAGCCAGAGATTCCAGATAAATGTAGCAGTCTGAAACTATACATACCAGCTGTGCCAGAGAGGACTAAAGCCCTGTGGACTGAGGAGCATTAACTAGCTGATGCAGAAAGCATCTACCACAGGGCAGTATTTCCAGTCAGTGTTTTGGGAAATGGGACTCTGCAATTGTGCTGTTATTATTGGCTGCTCAGAGAGAAAATGGATTTCCCCAGTTAAACACAAAGCAGTTGTTTCCAAAATCCTCAAGACCATTTAATTAAACCACACCCAAATTAAGAAACCAGAGAAGCTAAACTCTGTGTGACTTCACCTATTCATAAACAGCTTTTCCTAATTATTGTAGTGCAACATATTATCTTTATTCTCTTTAGTTTTACCTGTGACTTACAAAACAAAGCACTTCATAGGAAATCTGTTCGTACTCCTTCCTTATCAACCAAGGGATGATAAATTCCCACACCACACTATATGATTTTTCTGAGTTATATTAAATGAATGCATTTTATTGCAGTGTTTTTGTATAGTAGCTCTTATAGCTAACCTGAGAGAATTTCCTTATTATTTGAAACCTATTTTTCTACATTTTGTAGAGTAGCATGAAAATTTAATGCCTTTCTATAGCACATACAAGCATCTGCATGCACCTCTTACAGGATTGAAATGATTCTGCATCATAATGCTACTCCGTTATAACCACCAAACTGGAGAAGAACATATCTATCAAAAAATAATGGAATTGAACAGAGAACACAAACTTACTTCACTGAAGACCTAAGAATGGCACTGAAAAACAATGTGGCCTGTTCCAAAGATTTCAAAGAAGGAGGACAGCCCAGGAAGGAAGAGTCTAAGCAGGGGTAGACTCTAAGGAAGCAAGCATAATTAATACCAGCTCAACCAGGAAGAGGTGGAGGTCTTCTCCAGGAAAAGAAAAAAAGGCAATCTCATACACCTTTTCTGCTGTGCTCCAAAGAAGCCAATTTGAGTCCTGCATTTTATAATGGTTAGCAGTTAGCTGGGTTTTAGCACATTTCCTGTACTCTGAGTCCAGCAAAAGCAGGATACAGCTCACAGATTAGGAACCACTGCTTTTAATGTGTGTTTTTATTTTGTAGTCAAGATAAGTGTCTGAAACAACAGTAGACTACTATCTCAGTTTAAGTATTCATATTAACAAACTATTATTAACATGCAGAAAGGCACTTTTCCAATATTGCTGCTATGCTGATACTTTATTAAGGAAGTAGAAATAGCCAGCTGAGCAATAGTAATCCTGGCCACACTGAGTATCCAGGTTTCAAAACGAAAGAACAGAAGTAGTGACAGAATTGTGGCACCCTCCTCACAGTTTCATGACAGATCAGAATAAAAAGAGACAGTACAGAGATAACAACATCTTTAAACTGTCAAGCCCACCACCAACACCCATCGGTACAGGAAGCACCAATGATCTTATCTTCTGAAGCAGAAATAAAAGAATTGTCTGGTAATCCTTAAAATTCCCCTGAGGAAACTAGTGAAGAAGAAAAAGAGTCTTCTTCAGAAGATGCAACACCATTGTGAAAATACCAGACCTCAATCTTGCAAATGGTTCACAAACCTCCACTTCAGTCCTGCAACAGATTGATGGATTGCAACTTCTGATCTCCCTCACACCAGGGACAACCAAAGGCAATGCTACTGAGGCCATAAAAATCACAGGACTCTAATTAAGCTCATTATCAGCATTCATAATCTTTGAAGTCTTGTAGGGGAAGCCACATACAGTTACAACCGAGGGACTAATTCGAGAACAATATTGCACTGGACTTGTTCTAAGTATTTCAGTTCATGGCAAGACACTTGAAATCATAGATATCCAGAAGCTCATGATCACGAAGATCAGAGAACAACAGATGGAACTCCCAGAACAAAGACACCCTAAGGGCTTCCTTATATCTCCCCACCAGAAACCCTCAGTCCCAACCTGTCCCACACCCTGCTGTAGGCATGACAGCCCTGTCCATCCCAACACACAACTACCACGTGGTAGTTTGGTTTCAGCAGCCTCCTGCTTACAACTATGTCATTGAAATGGAATGCTACATGGCTACATAGGCCCTGCCCAAATGTGGCACACAACATATTTAGCAGCATCAGGGTGTAAAACCCTCCCTGTTACTCCAATTTTGTTCATAGGTTTTCTCCTCAGAACTACTATGTGGTTCTTAATGGATAAGATTTAATCCTATTCTGGATGGCTTCTTTTAGCTTTATAGCTTTATTCTTTTTATATAGCCTTTTTTTTAGGATGTGTGAAAGATTCCAGGCAGAAACAACACCCATTCATGTATATGTTATTTTCAGTTACTGGCACACTTCAAAAAACACATTTCCTTTAAAACAGAGTTCCCAAATATTCAGTATCACTTTCTGTCCTTTAAATTTTCCTGTATGACCATCAAAATTGTGCAAATGAAAGGCCAAGTTGTAGATGAAGTTGACAAGCTGTGCACTGGCCGAAACAGAGATACCCCAAAAAGTACAGCAAGAGATATAATAAACAAAAAAGCAAAAAACTAAACAAAACCAAAAAGAGAGTTTCTGTCTGGAATGGGGAGAGATTAAAACACAGTGCAAAATGTGAAAAAAAAATTGCTTATCATGACAAACTGTGCAGGTGGAATTCCAACAAACATCGCTGTTTCAAAAATCCTGAAATAGTCTAGTTACAATATGGTCCTAATGGGGAATGGTGGAAATGTATCATCCCAAAAAATGTAGCTAATTTCAGATTAGGTACAGGAACTGCAGAGACAGTCACTTTGTAAAGGAAAACCCAAAAGTATTTAAGTGATGTTTCACATCCATTTGCATAGTTAACATGTTATGGCTTTTAAATCAAGTTAAGCCTACTGATGTCACATGAATCCATTCAAGAGTCATATGAACTCATGAGAAATTGCTGGTGCTTGAATCTGCTCTCGAGACTGACTCAGACTCATGCACGTAAAAATCAAATGAGATCGTGTTAATTTGGTGCATTTTCTATCCCTAGATGCATCTTGTTCCAGTCACAGACACATGTCTGAATGTTTTAGTTTCCATAGGATACACCACAGATGCAATTGAGAAAAATAAATTCAGAATTAAAAATTACCTTCAAGGTACTTTTGAAACATTCACTTTAATAAGGCAATGCAAATTAAAACCTTTTTTCTCTTATTTGTGTGTATGTTTACATAATGCTAAAAGAGATGCTGGTTAGCACAGATTTTCTCTGAGCTATACAGTACAGTACACCAGCTAATATGCTGCTATATATAAATCAATAGCAATTAAACTGTAAAGCAACTGACATATCAAATGAAGATATATTATTGGGGATTTAAGTTCACTTGCTACCCT